ATTTTTTTTTAATATAAAGAATTCATATTTTTCTACTCAAATCTCACTAAAAAGACTAATGACATAATTCTTTTTTGTCTGCTTTACAGGGTGTTTTAAATGAAATCTTTACTTCACACAAAATTTTTAAAAAGCTCTATTCTTGATCCCAATAGTCAAGTTGAATACCCGAAAGCTCACTCATTACAATACTTGCAAAGTTCCAGCCATGAGCTATTATATCTACGAAAGCTTGAATAAAGCATACACATATGTACATAGGAAATATGTTATATACCTCAAGCGCATGCTATTATTGCAGTTCAGTGGTAAGTTTACACATACTTAGTTTAATATTTTTATACTGTCTAACTTTTTATTATTCCACTTATAGCCGCTTTCTTAACTAAACACTGAGAAAACGGCTCTAAATATAACTAATTCTATGCTATTTGAAAGAGGCAAATACATGTAAGCTCTCTCCTTCACATTAACAAAATTACTCAATGCTTAAAATTCCCCTACAGCTACCCCACCTAAACTAGTTATTAAATATTTTGAGTTCTTTTCCGTTTCCTATATACACTTCATCCGCTCAACTTGCCTAATTTCCAGTCGCTTCACAAAGCAATAGCACAATACGCTTACATATAAAGGGTAAATAGGAAGAGTGAGAGGAAAACGGTATAGCTTTTTCTCCTCTCATAAACTTCTCGCATAATACGCAAGTTTATTTCTCTCATAAATTGGATCGCAAGAATTGTGTTGAGTTCATTTCCGTTTCCTTTCTCTTATTGTATCCGCTCGCTTCATTCAACTCAATGTAGCTTTCCAGTATATACAAACAATCACATAAAATAATAGGCGAGTATATAAATTGAGTTTAGAGAGTTAAAAAATTCACTGGAATTAGAACAGAAGGAAAGAATAACGAAATTGTAACCAGCGATGCGGACACATTTTTGCAGTTTTTGTAGAGTTGATAAAATAAAAGTATTTTAAATATAATTTTGAAAAAATAAATAAAGAAATAATAATAAAATAGTGGAAAAGTGTATATTAATGAAGTAATGAAAATAATCGGTATAGAAACATTAAGCGCAAAGTTAAAAGTAAATCGTACAGGCTGATTCGCGTGCACTCGTGCCTGTGGGTAATAGTCGGGTCTCGTATAAGAACTGTATAAAAAGTGTAGTACTAAATATTTGTTAAAAAAAATAGTAAATAAGCGTGAATGTGCGGTTTAAATGAAAATATTTGTAAATATGTATGTATATATTTTTTCGAAATATTAGTAAAAAAATATTCGGATGAAGAAGTGAATATACATAGCGATAATTTTTTTGTGTATGTATTAGTGCATCTGTACTTTCTGGTGAGGCTACTACTTTTATACCATAAACATTGCAACACAGTCTCCGAAATTGTTTATATTTCATTTGAAAAAAATAAATCTATTCAAAAATAAAAAAAAAAGTTTACCACTTAAAGAACAAAAAAATGTAATAACATATGTAATTCATTTATCATAATGTTAATAACACCTTATATAGTGTCTGAGCTATATTCTTACAATGTGATTTAATTCCATGAACTAATCACCAAAATTTCAAATAATCAAAATGCTAAATCTTCACAATTTTTATTTACCTTGTTTTTATATATTTCTTTTACCTTTTGAAGAAAAATTATAATCCGCTCAAGAATTTGTTCAAAAATATTTCAGAATATATCTATTGTTGTTTACAATTATTGAGTTCATGTTCTACATAATTAACTTATTAAGCAATGAAAGCCTAGCACGACTTTTCTTTTTCTTGGGTCTATCGCTTAACCGCTCGCTTCTTGCCAGTGTCTCCGCCACCCCAGGAATTGTAGAAGTTCTGCTTTCGATTTTATGAAAGTGCACGCATTCAACAAATTGCAAGTATCTCAACTTGTTTCGCAATTCTTTAATTGTCTGTAATAGTTTTGGAACATCAGTATGCACCTCTAATTGCTGTTCGTGCTCCGTTTTTATGTTGTTGCGTAAACTCTTTTCGCTAATGGAACTGTGTATGCTTACAATATCATCAGATAATTCCTTGATCAATAACGCATTATTCGTTGCCATTATAGTTGTGTTATATTAAAGATTGTCTTAAAGGAATAACTGCAAAATATTGCAAGATCTCGTATTGTTAAAGTAAATTAGTGTATCTGAAGTGTAATGGTTCAAAGTTGAATACAAACTGGCCTTCTTTGACAGTGTCCGGTATTTAAATTCTTTTTTTTTTTCGACAACGTGCTGAAGAACAGGTAGCAACATTGTACTTTAGTGCGGTACGTACCTTAAAAATGTACACACCAGTGGGCAAATAAATTACTCACACGTATCTTTCAAGGCTGTAAAAAATAATGAACTACCTGATTTTATTAGCTGGAACAGCAAGATTTCTCTTTGAGTTTTCTAGAATTACATAGAGAAAGTAGCTAAGTCTCAGCGTTGCATTTTCAAATTTTAATTTTTTTCGTACGTAGCAAATATTTGATATTCCAAAACTTTTTTCGTTGGAATTACATAATCATTGAGGTATGATCTACTGCTGCATTGTTTTATAATTGAATTTTTTCACTTTCTTTATTTTATATTTTATTAGTGTGTTACATACTATAAAACATTTTTTTGTTTACGTTTAGCTCATTTTCTGTTTTGTTACTGATAATGAGTATATTGAAAATAAAATCTCTATTTTTTTACTAAGTGCTTAGATTTTATTTATAATAAAAACATCATATTTATAATTCCTGCCCTAACGCTGCTAGACGTGCTATAAACTTCCACTACTTTAATTTTTCCAAACGCTGTATTATTCTCTTGCCGGGGTCGTGCCTGCATTGTTTTGTTGGTTAAAAGTTCAAAGAATGTCGAGCTCGACAGCCGATTCTCGCTCCTCCTGGCGGCAGTGACATTCTCTGGAATTGTTGCAAGCCAGCTTCAATTTGACGAAAATGTTCGCATTCAACCAAATGCAGATAGCGCAATCTCAGGCGCAACCGCGACACTGTCTGCACCAAAGTTTCTGTTTCCGAGTATGTTGTTGCTTCGAATAATGACACAGCATCGTCGCTTATATTCTCGTCATTAATGAAGGCTGACATACGCAATTCGTTTGCGTAAGCGTTGAATTTGAAAGAATTATTCTCCATTGTAAAATAAATTTGCTCGTAGTTTGTGCTTAGATGAAAATTATTGCGGAACGATGGTGTTCGTAGTGAATCTTAAGTGAGAGCACGAAGACTGTCTGATGTTAAAAAGTTATTTTCACCTGCTTTTATACTAAAACTAAGAACTAGAATGCTTTACACTTAGTATGCGGATTTTTAAGGATGCGTAAAGAAAGCAAGTTTTTGTACCCTTTTTTTGTAGGGCGTAACCGTAACACATGAGATAACGTGAAAAAGGAGAAGAAAAAGTTTTTAAAGGTCCTTTTCTTCCTTTCATACAAAATATTATTTACATGCTCAAGGTTGCGAAATATCGATCAATTTCATTTGAACCGTAATGCTGTCAATAGTTTTCTTTGTTGTTATGAATATCCTACACTCTGTTGAATAAAGAAGTGTCAAAGAGTGAAGGAGCCGACCGGTCTAGCTTTACGGGCCGTTCTACACGAAGGTTCTATTTCCTACACTTTTATGGCGATTGCCTTGAAATTTTAAGAAAATTGTAGAACTTATAACGAACAATGATTTTTTGGAAAATTCTTAATTCGCATAACCCCTTAACGTTATAGACCTCAGATAACGGATAATTTTGTATACAATTTTTTAAAAGGACTTGATATTTTAAAATATCTATTTTTAATATGTTAAATTACATTCTCTAATAAAGACTTCCTTTGTTTCTTAGTGCATTTCCCAGAACTGCAGCTTTGTAGACTTCTGCCGTCTACCTGTGTTTACATTCTTTTGCCTGCTTCGAAGCATCCTTTTGCCTGCTTTCTTTACATCCTTTTGCCTGCTTCGAAGAGTTTACCTGCCCTAGCTTTTCTCAGGACCTTTCAGCCTTTGTAATATCCAGGTGTTACTATATATAAGGATGCGTCTCAAAGTAAATCTTTAATAATTCATTTACTTACAAGAAATCAACAGCCAAATTCCTCACTTTACGGTAAAAATACTGGTATTATAAAATGGCTGAAAACATTATTCACGAACTCAATACACAATTTAGTGATATGGAGCTAAAATCCAAAAATAAAAACCGAAATAAAGTTGAAGATTTCACCACAAACAAAAGGTGCAAAAATTATAACACGGAAGAGCACTGTATGCCATATCATGCTTTGATGGACAGCAAAGACATCACACACATTTGTACGCTATGTGGCGGCAATCTATATGCTGATATCACTATGGACGATGTGTTAAAGGAAAATCTGCGTTATAAGTTAATTTGCCCACGTGGCTGTGAGGAACTGCCAAATATAGCAGAAACGGATAACGGCAAACAATATAACAAGCAACCGATGGGAGTAGAAGACCATGCGAACATTCAGCGACAATTACACAGTAATGGAGTTTATATGAGCAACTATAACTCACATCAGCCGCATAATATGGTCGCAATACCATATCGCGATTACAGATTCAATCTGACCACCGATCTTATGGCCGCGCGATCTGCGCGCTTGAAGCAACTCTTGAATACAATCGATTGTGATAATTGTCATCGTGTGAGTCTCAATGAGAAGTCCAATCGCTTTGAGGCCTTCAAGCGTAAGAATGTACGGCGTGCGGAGTATGAGTTGAACAGGCGTAAAAGTTATAGTAGAGATGGTAACAGTACAGCTCCAGACTTCAGCTCAGATCTATCAGCTATGGCAGAGTCTATGTTTGAGTGTTCGGAGCGTCTACGTCGTTTCTACAAGCAGAAGGAATACACGCTGGGTTGCGAAAAATGCGGAGGCATATAATGGAAAGGAGAGAAATATAGTTCTTTGACATGACTAAAAGAATAGAACACAAAATAATATGTAATAATGCATCAAAATGCAAAAAAAAAATACTTTAAATAAAGTTTCATATAATGCACCTAAAGAAAAAACTTGTTTATTTTGTTATGATCTCTTAATATCTAAATATTGTATTCTCCTACTTTTCTTGAATTTACGGACTACTTCTACTGTTCCATCTCTTCCTCAGAATCTATTTTTACCGGGTTCCTAACACTTCTTTTATCATTCAGGTCTGCACTTTAACCAGAGAATGTTTGCGCTTTTTATATTCTTTAATATTATCTGCTTTAAAAATTATGTTCGTGTAGCTTCGAGCAGAAATGTTAGTCCCTTTTAATCATGCACTTAATATTTATTTATCAAGTGTACACACATTTTGAAATATACATAAATATAAAGGTAGAAATTTAGAAATACATAATATAACTATTATAATCACAAATTATAAACTAGATCTCATAGCGCTCGTTATATAATGAAAGAATTCTACTACAACGTTCTCGTTCTCTTTATGTTCCACAACGCCAACAAATTGTAGGGCCACGAACAGCATTAACAATACCACAAATGTACAAACCAACCATATGCAAAATCTGGAAGTATTGAATTAATAATGAGACGAGATATTGTTTATATAGCAATTAGAAGTCTGACTTCACAGCGCGTATAATGAATCAGCCGCAAATGTGCTTTTAGCTAACTTATACGAACTCTATCTAAATTTTTAGAGCCCCTGTGGGGTTTAAATTTTCTTACTTGCACATCCCGTGCTTGGTTTATTTCCTTCGTAGCTATATTTCTTTATCTCTATTCGCTTTGTATTAATGTAGAGAATGTTTTCTCAAAAAGCAAAAAGCAATATTCAATATTTCATTTTACATATTTTTGAATATTTGCTGCAAAGCTCCCAGTTAATAAAAAAATTGCTTTCGAAAAAATTGTGCAATCTTATTTATACATATTTGTTGAGTGAGTTCAATATATGTATATTATGACTTTGAACCAACACTATGTTTGGCAGGTCAGCAATATCTATCGTTAATGTTCAGGTTTAGTTTCGGTAGAAGAGTTGATACAAAATCGATGAATCGACTTGGGGGTCTTAAGCATTGCTTTGTAGAAAATTTAGAATGAGCACGTCTATTAAAATTTTTCTTTAAATGCAACTATATAATGATAAATGAAGAGTGACTAAGACAAAAAAGTGATCTCATGAAGAGAGCTGATCTGTCACTTACCACATGATCTATTAGATCCAAGCAAAGCTATAAGAAATTTTATTGATTTTTCATATCAACTCACTAGAATCTGCATACTTTCAAATCCAACGGGAAAAGCGACGCCGTTGATTGTTCTGTGAAAATATTACAATACCGAGTTTGTTGAAGTGAAACCCCTCACAGAACAGAGACGCCGCTTAGTGATAGTTTGAATATAAATTAAGCTAAAAATGATGCGATAAAGCCCCGAATAAAAACTAACTTCCGCCCGTTTTAACAAGCTTGTTTTATTACCAGGACACTTATTACATATCGCGAGATCACAGTATCGAAACCTTAGCAGTTATACCAGGTATTATTAAAGATTCAAACAATTTACTTTAATTTCACGAAAGCGTTTTAATTTACATAACCTTCATTAAAAGAATTATATAAAGCAATATAAATATAGTATACATATAATGGAACTAACTATGTAAATATAAACCATAATTTTTAGTAACAATAATTGAATAAAAGCTAACACATTCTATAACACAAATCACGCGTAAGCTTTATGATGCTTAAATCTTTTTAATAGTATTGCTGGAAAAGTCCTTTAAAAGTTAATGGGGCGGCAGTCACCATATCTTCTATCATTTTCTTATCGGATTCCTCCCCTTTATGGTGAAATACTGTAAAGTATACGATAAGACCAATTATGAGGAACAATATGAGCACCGAACCAAGTATGCCCAGACAGATAGTAAAGGCACATTGGCAGCAGCTGGAAAAAATACAGGCACCAAAAAGATATAGACATAAATATTTAGAAAATAGTATGATATTTTATTTGCATTTATATGTAGATGTTTTTTCGATCACCGGAAGATAGGTGTACAATTCAGTAAGATCCAAATTTCGAAAAGTGAATATCCGCTATAGCAAGCTTTAATATTTCTCGTACTACTTCTAATAATAATAGCATTATGCGGCAGAAGCAAAGGAAAGTTTTGTTAGAAGACCCTGAGATCGAAAATTTAAACATCAACTCTATAACTTTGAACTTTGAAAATAGACGAAGCACAAGTCCATCATAAGGTTAAATTGTATAGCTAATAAAGTATACTCCATACCCATTCTGGTGAAAATATTGACTTACCAGCAGACAACTTTTCCTGAACCCTTGAGACAATCGCACAACACACCACACATTTTAATTGTTCTTTGTTAAAACGCGTCTTTTTAAACGTTTAAAAAACTATTATAATCTCAATATTTTTTAGTTATCAGTTGTAATTCTAATGTCTTATGTATGTATGTCACACGGTAGAAGAATATTTCATTAGCTTTTCAGATTTGCCTGTAAACTTCATGGATAACTTTATGAAAAAAAGAGAGACACAATTCTCGAAACATTACATTTTCGAAATTTACAATATACCTTACATTATTACAAATTAACCCTTAAATGAGTCATCAAACACCATATCAGAACTTGGAATATTGGAGACCAAGAAATTAGCTTAGAAAATTTCACTTCCACAAATTAGTTAAACAAGTTTTTGTCTTGCGAAATTATCCAAAACAAAAAAAGTAACATCAACTTAGGCGCTCAAATGCTATGTGATTAATTCACTCGTCTTACTACAAAAGTGTTTAATTCTCAGCCGGTTAATAACATGCCTATTTGAAGCTTTAAACCTATGCCCATCGCCTCGACGGCAAAATTTTCATGAAATAACTTTCCAATCTCGCTTTATTAAATAGAAACTACTAAGCAATATCAGTAACACTGAAATCTTCAAATCATTACATTTCTCTTCTTATATTAATTAAAATACAAGGCAAATTTGTTAACTGTAGTTATTCTAACTTAAAGATAGCATTCGCATATAACCGTACGTTAGTGCCATCAACCTGAGAAAGGTCTCAAAATAAAGCTCATTATTTCTTGCATAATCGAGTTGTCTTCGTCGGCATCGGGACTTTTGTGAAAAACAAAAGCAGCAAAGCAAATTAATAGGAAAATTATTAAGGCGATGATCACAATGCAGGCGGTGGCACAAAATACATTGTATCTGCAGCCGCTGAAAGAGAACGGGCAAAAATAATACTCAATTATGGAAAAACTCGCTGAAAATATGCATTTATGTATTTATTTTGCCTTAAAGTGATATAAACAATACACTTTTTCCATACCAACACATCTTCTGCACTTTTTGCTAGCTTTATTTTTTTGTTAAACTGCTTCGGTGATCTATTCGCTTGAGTTCTTGTGAAAATATTTTATTTTGCTTATTCTAATGACATTTTTCGACACTTATTTTCATATATTTTGTTCGAAGTGAAATTCAAAATTATTTGTTTCCAAGTTGATATTTTTATTACTTTTGGTTAGTATCTTTAGTTAAGAAGCAACCCTCTCTACATCAAAATCCTTATATAACGCTTTCTAAACTATTAAACTTGTTGATAGTAACCTCTTAATGGGTTACTGCTCTTACAATCTGTGAGTGGTTATATTGGTTCAGGTCTCATTTTTCAGTCATTCAGTCTCATTTGTCAGTTGGGTGTTGGTTATAGTGTTTAAAGCGCTTCGTTTCAATATGTACCTAGCCTATAGTTTATGGGCGTAACGTATAGAATTTTGGCTAGTATACGTATAATCAAACGATATATATCGGTACGAAGTTAAACAAAGGGAAGTAATAATTTAATTAAGCACTATTTTATACAAGTATATTATATAAATATTTATAAATACATATGCGTGTATATAGTATAAACATCATTGTGATAACACTATTTCTATAGCCTTATATTATGGCCCCAAACATTAAGAACGAACTATTTATAGCATATCGTAAATGAACCCAAATTTGTTCAATAAAACTTTGATTAGATTAGCAGCAGTGTGATTACATTATTTCTTTTATTAAATTCGAAGCTATATTAAAAATCAGTTAAATTTTCTTGTATAAATGTTTAAAAATATTTGTTTAAATATATTAAACTTACAAAATATACAATAAGACACTAAAGTAATGCCAGACAGCCCCAAACTGGCATTAAACCGCATTTATTCCATTTTAGTGTTGTTGCTGGAAGTATTGCTTAAAGGTTGTAGGCGCAGCTGTTATAAGCTGCTGCACCAATTTTTCTTGCTGACCGTCGGAACTATCCTTATGATAGTATACTGTGAAGTACACGATCAGACCGATTATGACAGCTAATACTATGACCGAACAGAATATGCCGAGTATCATATTCAGCGCACATTCGCAGCAGCTGTAAAGAGAAGAGTTTAAAAATTTATTATTTTAAAATAAAGAACTAAATTTAATATGTACTTATTATACATTTCTCTGAAATAAAAAACTAATATGCAATATATGTTATGTACTAGTATGGATCTGTAAAAACGTATATTACAAAGCCAATAATAATATAATAATAGTTCGAGACGATGTTTTCAAAACATAAACTCAATAAGCTTGTTATAAGCCAAGCTAGACGTCACTATAAGCATGGTATCATACTCGACCTTGTTAATGAACTCGGGTTATGTTGGCAATGCAACCGAGGGGCCAAGTGGTCTTTTGCTCTAACCAGCAAGTCCATAAACATTCTAGTTGATAGCCTAGACTTTTAGTAGGTAACTCAGTTAATATCATCTGGGTACTCGGTCATATAGAAGTGGAAAGAAATGAAAGGGTTGTTTGAAGTAGTGAGCCCTGCACCTTAGGTATTGGAACACACTCCTTGGAAAAAAGAAGCTTAGCAATATGTTGGGGGTCATCACAGGACACCTATCCTTAAGATCCACATTCACAAAATGGGAAAAGTGGATGCAACGGAATGCAAGGCATGAGCGGAGGATGATGAGGCGCTGTAGCAATATCTATGCGTAGGCCCGTCTTCAGCCGGATAAGACGAGATATACCACTGCTCCCAATATTCGAACTTAAGATGCATTGGGCAGCTGAGAAGAAAAATAATACGTTTATTCACCAAATCTTCTGAGTTCTTAGATAACACTTAAATCGGTTACCACCCGGGTCCGACGCTTCACCCCACCAACCGACCAATAAAAGTAGAGAACAGACTTCCCTTGTGTAAAATTTATCGACATTGTTACCTGCTGTCCTTAGACCTTTCAGTTGAGCTTATTATCAAACGAGATTATGACGGATTTATTTCACATGTACACTTCTATTATCTGTGAGATTGCTGTTTGAATAACAAATTCAGCGCTTAACCTATATACCTATAATATCAAATGCAATAATTATTTTTGCAATTTTGCGCAGGTGAAGTACATCTGGGATTTCGCTCATATATATTACATATGTATGTGTAAATACAGTTGAATATTTATCTATACGTTGCTAATTATTTCACTTCATATTTATCGTACACTTTACACTACTAGACTACAATGCATTTGCTATCTAACAGTTCTTCGCTTTCCTATCGCTCAAGTAGCTTGACTAATCGTCTCGGGGGTTTCACGTGCTCAGAGCTAGTAATGTGTTTACTGATATCAACAAATTTTTTTCAAAAGTTTCTACTACAACTAAGCAATACATCGAGGTTAATTTGGTGGCCACATAATGTATTGGGTGACAGTTGACAAGCAAATGACAGCGAGTATTGTAAGTTATTACTATATAAGAATTCGATACTTCTATTCAAAAGGGGAAAAATATTCGCGACTCTCCTTATAGTGAACAGATCAATTGAAAAGTTTCAATTCAAGTATATTAAAACCGGTTTTTTGTCGACATGTGACAGTAGATGTTGAAACTTAGCTTCATCATTTCACTTCGAAGCCCAATCGACAGTCATCCGGGCTGTGACTGCACACGATGAACCGGCTCCAAATCGTGAAAAAACGCAAAAGACGGCTGACAAGGTTGTAGCGCCTGTATTTTCGGATGCGCATGGAATCCGCATAGTGTCGCAAAAATTCATACATTGGGCTTCAAATTGCTTCCGGGTCCACCGTTTTCTCCAGAACTGGCCCACTGCGACAATTTCCTGTTCTCAGTACTCAAAAGAATACTCGCTATGAAAAAATGTTCGCTAAATAATGAAGAGGTCCCCCAAACTGAGGTCTATTTTGAAGCAAAGAACATATCGTACTACAAAAATGATATCGAAAAGTTGGAAGGTCGCTGTGCATTGTATCAACCTTGAAGGCAATTATGTTGAAAGAAAAAAATTGCGCCTATAGACTTCTTTTACCAATTTTTTGTTTGCTTAAAACTTATCACATTGTATAATACTTCCTTTACATACTTAAAAATAATAAAAATATAAACTTACCAACAAAAAAGTTTTGCCGGGCATTTCAGACACTCCCACAAACAGTTGCACATTTTGAATATTTGGTTTTAAAAATAATTCGAAACTATTCTACAAATTAGTACACAATTTATTTAATTTAATTATTTTCCGTGTAATCCTCTCGTGCGATTTAATTAGTATTTGTTTCGTTGGTTCGTTCGATGCCAGTGAATCACTAGACGTTATTTAACGGTTATGTAAATGCTTTCCGTTTTTCTCTCCGCAAGTGCGTGACACACGTTATTTCGTTGGCAAACACAAACCGCAACTGTCGCGTCGCTCGAAAGTTATTAGCTTTTTTCCCCAATGGAAAACCTTAACCTGTGCATGATACACATAGAGATAGGAGACCACACCTGAATGTATTATCGAGCAACTCGTGCACTTAACATATTTTAACTTTAACGGGAGTCGAGTGTAACGTGCGTCAACGCTTCAAGTGATTAAAACGACTTAGCATTCATCACCTAAGGGTTAAATAATCGGTGCCAATTATCGCGTTTATTGCAAGGTGTAAAAAAAAAACAAAAAAAGGAAAGCAACTTTTGGACGTGACACATTGTATTATCAGTGCCAATATATCAATGAATCGTATTTATGTGCTGATAAAAAGTGGTATTTGTTACCGAAATGTGTTTCTAAGAACGACGTTATTTATATTTTCTTATCACTATCGATTGGTGCCGAAACAAGCGCAAAATAACAATATGGAGATGAATGTTTGTTCAGTCCACTTCACAGCAACGATTAGGCGGTGTAGTTGTTGGAACACACACTTGAGGGTGAATCCCTCTAGAAATCAACAAATTTTATGACTTTCATAGTCATATTTCATAGGAAATTCAGAGCAGTTATAGTTTTTTGTCGCTCTGACTTATGTTTCAAAAATTCGTTTTTTTCTCTCCACCCTAGTTCCCTTCAAGGGTAATAGCGTCCTTTCATGCCGATTTGTCCTTTCAAAATAGTCCTCAGTTTCGGC